AGTTTCAGTGAGTAGAGGCTGGGCAGGGCATTTGGCGCTCATGGAAAGGGGATGCTAGAGAGGTGAGCCTGGATCAGAACGTTCATTCTTTCAGTGGCTCCAGAACGTAGCCCTGGCAGTGCTGCCGGACTGCTAACCCCAAGGTTGGTGGTCCACAGGAGAAAGATGAGGCCGTCTGGTGCTGGAAAGATTTACAGTCTTGGACGTCCTATGTTGGATTGCTATGGGCCAGAACAGACTTGACAGCAGTGGGCTTTTGTTTTGTGTGTCTGTTCCTTAGGCAGCACAGGGAGAGCCGTTGCAGGAGAAAGCACATGGACTTGTGAAACCCATTGCAGTAATCTAAGTAAAAGATAAACAAGTCTTCAACTGGACCATGAGGGAAAGAAAAAATGTATTATTAATCAATATCATACGGCTCTCATAGAGAAAATGCGTGATGGAAGCAAATAGCAAGTCAAGAAATAAATGAGCATCGATGAAGAAGGTCAGGTTATATTTAAATAAATATAATAACCACAGTGAAATTACTAAAATAAAGATACTAACAGAGGGAGTAGGTTCTGCTGATCCAGCTTTGGCTTTTTATTCACACCATAGGAGGGGAGATTCACAGTGCCACAATGGGACATCATCTTGCTGTCATGTGCCGACAAGTCCTTTCTAAGCACCCTATGTACAACAGCATGAAACACTGCCTGGCCACTCATAGGTCTGCAGCTGACTCGTTGCAGCTGCTTCGATCTGTCTCATTGAGGGGCTTCCTCTTTTCTGTTCTCCCCCTGTTTCACCAAGCATAAAGCCAAGGTGCTGGCGGTGAAGGCAGAAGAGTGGATTCCACTCTGAAGAGTGCTGTTTCTCCACACCTGGACATCTCTGCCAGAGCCAGGGTCACTCCGATCCAAGGCCATAAGAGCTGTATGCAGGAGGCACAGCGCATCAAGTCAAGGACACATGTTTAAATATTTAGGGTGTAAAAAATCATCGAAAGGGGGTTCTAGAAAACCACAAACAAGGACAGTGCCATAGGAAAAGTCCAGGCCAGTATCACTCACGAGCAGAGGGACAAAGTGAATCCATCCATCATCATCCACTGTATGGTCCTTAATCACAGCCACAGAGTCCCTTTCGTCATTTTAAGCCATGAGGTCTCAGGTTTCAGGATGAGGACAGGGCTATCATAGGCGTACCATCAAAAAAGCAAAATCATAAGACAGAGAGGGAGAGAATATTTTCTGTAGAGATTAACAGCAAAGGATTTCTATAAGGAAAATGTAAAATATTTCTACAAAGTATCTTTAATGGACAAACCAAGAGGAAAATGGGAACAGAAGTGTAACCATTAAGGGCACACAGGGAGCCTTTAGGGGTCTGGAAAAGTTCTGTTCTCTTGCCCTGGGTGGTCCATAGGACACTATGCCACTAAGTTATATATAGTATTTTTCCTTGTGTGTATTAAGTTTTACATTTTAGAACTAATTTAATTTTAAAAGCAACAACACAAAAGTCAGGCCCAATTGCACAATACAACAAAACAAAACAAAGATATATGTGCTTCGCAAGCCCTCGTTAGCATGTTGGAAAGCAGGAATGTTACTTTGAGCGCTACAATGTGGCTGGCGCAGGCCATGGTACTTTCAATTGCCTCAGATTCGTGTGAACATTGGACATTGAATAAAGCAGATGAAGGACAAATCGATGCATTTGAATTGTGGTGCTGGAGAACAAGATTGAAAGTACCCTGGACTGCTAAAAGGACCAAAAAACGTCTGTCTCGGAAGAAGTACAGCCAGAGTGCTCCTTAGATGCAAGGGCGACAAGATTTCATCTTACAGACCGTGGACATGTAGTCAGGAGAAACCGGTCCCTGGAGAAGAATATCATGCTTGGTAAAGCAGGAGGGCAGTAAAGAAAAAAGAAGAAGACCCTCGTTGAGCTGAATGGACACTGTGGCGGCAGCGATGGGCTCAAGCACAGGAACAATTCTGAGTGTTGTGTTGTGTTGTGTTGTGTTGCTCATATGGTGGCTGAGGGTCAGAACAGACTCACTAGCACCTAACAACAACAACAAAGAAAAAGGAGGAGAGCAACGACAAACTGTACGAAGAGGAAGAACAAAAAGAAGCTTTGTCTTGCGGGTTTTCCTGGGAAGGCCTCAGCAGGTGCTGGGAACGTGCAGCACAGTTAGAAGAAGTTTCTTCTAAGAGGTTGAGTCAGTGATTCACTAAGTAGGACCCGAGTGAGGAGGAAGGAGCCGCTCTGTTCTTCATGCACCCTGATCTCAGCTGCATTTTAGATCGGCCTCTCCAAAGGTGTGTCCACATCAGGACTCAGAGTAATGAGAAAATGTGAATACTAAACTTTCCATATTCCCTAATAGTTGACTGAATAACTTAAAATATATGTGTCTGGAGGAGAGAGTTCTGGTTCTAGAATCAAGGGACCTGAATATTAGACCCAGCACAGCTCAAAGTTCACCCCCTCTCGTTTTGTGAGCCCATTCACCCCTCTGGGCCTCAGTTTATCCAATTCCAAGAAAAGAGTGTGCCCTACTTGAGACCTGTGTGATGGTGACGGTAACAAGTGGTCAGGATGAGGTCTGTGCTCTATTGGCATGAGTTCATATATTTAGGGTAGGGTCTTCCAGGAACCTTCTGTGGAGTTGTGCATAGGAATGGGAATCTTACAGCCTAACATAACACTGAGTGTCAGTGCAACATCCCATGGTCTCTGCTCCCCCCTCACTGCAAACCCACAGCCACTAGAGAGCCTGGTTAGAGCCCAGAACAAAACTCTCCCAGAAAGACTTTACATTCCCTAAGAAGGCACTTGGAGAAGGGGCTGTAAACGAGAATGAGAAAAGTGAGAGGGGTGCTCTTCAGTAGTGGTACCTAACATGAGGAAGTTTATTTAACAGAGGAAACTATTTGACAGTGACACTAAAGATGAGAAAGTCTCCAAAAGTTTATGGGGAAAAATGGAATTGAAAGAAATGAGGATTTTTGTCAAGTTCCCTCATATGTATCAGGATTAGTGCAAAGCATGTTTCATTTCATCCTTAAGCAATCCTCTTACAATCTACTTTTGCAGAAGAGGAAATTGAGCCTCAGAGATACTAAATCACTCATTTGGCAGCATGTGATTACAGAGTGGAACCACCCAAACTAATTTCTACTGCCCCATTACAGCCTCGGGATCTGATGGTCAAGGACCGCTAAGGTACAAACCTGTCTCAAGGGACAGTATAAAACCAAAATTAGTGTCTTCTTCACCCTCAGGTCTCCACCACTACCCTGAGGGGTACAGACCCAATGGCCCTTCCCAAGATCTATCTCTCTGTAATCCCCAAGGGAAATTTTGCTCAGTTCCACTAATGACACAGGGGCATCCAACCTTGAATCAGCACCAAACTGGCTCTTTTCCTGATACCAGGCTCAGTTACTACCCATCTCCTCCAGCGACAGAACTTTGTTTTCCCCTGAGCTCCTTTTATATTTTTCAACAGTTTTATTGGCAAGTAATTTACACATCATATAATCCAATGATTTAATCATGCAATCCTATCAAGGAGAATTGTACAATCACCCCCACATCAATTTTAGAGCATCCCCCCTTACACTGGTTAAATCAATTTTAAGATGGTTTATGCATCACAATCCATTCTAGTGCTCCCTCCCCCTCCTGTCTTCATTACTTACTCCAGAAATTCCCTTCTCTCCCAAGCTTTTCTTACCCCCACCCGTGTTCCCTAGAGCCCCTTGTATCCTTCATTATCATTATACATCACAGAAAACAATAAAAAACAAAATCGCACTAAGATGGTAAAGGCAATAACATAATAATATACAGACAAAAATACTAAAAAAAAAAAAGTACTAATAATGTGTAAGAAGGAAAAGATGCCAACAATATTCAAAAAAGCCAGGGAAGACATTTCTGCCATGGAACCAGTAAGAGATACACCCAGAACAAATTCACATCCCGCAATGACAGAACTTCTTCCAGAACCATCAAAACTCTTGTCCATATATATACTAAAAACAAAACAAAACAAAAACACATCATTGTCATTGAGTTGATGCCAACTCATAGTGGCCCCGTAGGACAGGGCAGAAGCATCCCTGTGAATTTCTGAGACTGTAACTCTTTATAGGTGTAGAGAGCTTTCTCCCGAGGAGAGGCTGATGGATTCTGACCTTGCAGTTAGCAGCCCAATCTGTACCCACGATGCCACCAGGGCACCCTACATTTTATACCAGCCATTTGGAAGACGCAGCCCATCAATAAACTTTTCTACATAACCCATTCTCTGCAGCATCTCCTTCAGCCTCGTGAGTCAATTGACCATCAGAAGAGAGAACTAAGCCCTTCTCTGTTACTTCTGAGCACACCCACCTAGTCTCGGTAAGCCTGTTCTCTAGTACATGGTTTGTCTCTGCTCCTGCACTTTGCCTGGGCCTCCAGAGGAAAGGGGGAAACACAAATGACGTTTCCTTTGCCATTTTTGCAGAGATGATACATCGGAGATTATAGAAGTGGGCCATACCACCCCCTGGGGCACTGGAATGATCCAGTGGGGTTGCAAAAGCAGATACTTAGACATGATCCTGGATTATGGGCTGGGGGCAAATGTCTTTCATTGCCGGGGGGATGGGGGGCATTGGGTAATTGTTTTTCCTGAAAAGGGGGAGGCAGTAGATCAAATAAGTTTGGAGACCTATGTTACAGAAAGAAACGTGTTCGGGCTAACAAGTGAAACTGCCTGTAATTCTGCCCTGTTCTGCCCAGAGCTAGCTTTTTAGCTCCTCCAGTTTGTAGAAGAGGAGGCGGCATGAGCGGACACCCAGAGACTCTTCTTCCTCTCTCCCCGTGAGCGCTCCTGCCTGCCCTTCCAGAAGAGTGAAGACCTGGTCCAGTCCCACCCATCCTAGGCCAGCTCTATAAAGGAGCCTCCCTGACAGCCGTCCCCAGGGAGTCCGGGCTCTGTGCTTTCCTCAAGCATGAAGCTCTGCCTCTCGGGGCTAGTCTGCTTCCTCCTGCTTTCCTCACTGCCTCCAGGTAAGATGGTGGACACAGGTCTGAACAAGAAAGGGGTTATCTCCCCAGGACTACTGTTGCTGCTGTTGTTGTTGTTGTTGTCAGTTGCCATAGAGTTCATTCTGACTCATGATGACTCCACGTGTGCAGAGTTGAACTGCTCCAGGGAGTCTTCCAGGGTCAGACTTTTGGGAAGCAGACCCCTCCAGGCCTGTCTTCTGAGGTGCTTCTGGGTGTGTTCAATGGGTCAACCTGATGGCTCGTGGTTGAGTGCTTAACTCTTTGCACCACTCAGACACTCCTAAGCCCTATGCATACACATCCATGAATATCAGACTACGGCTGCCAGAGAGAGGCCAGCCCTAGCATTTCTCCCAGCCCCTTGAATAACAGTTTTTCTTTTCCGTGTTTGTTTGGGGTGTTGTTTTTTTGGCTGGGGGGGGGGGTGCTTTGTTTTCATTTCCATTTTTGTGTTCTTTCTTCCAGGGGATGGTATATTTGGAAATGATGGAGTCGAATTTCGCACTTGTACTAGCCATGGAGGCTTGTGTTTCTTTGGCTGTAAGCCTGGATGGCAATGGGTCGCATTCTGTCACAATGTCCTGTCTTGTTGTTTGAAATTGAAGAAAAATATTCCTCCACAAGTCAATGAAATGTGGTGGGCCAATTAAAAGAACCTGCGAACATGGCAAACTGGATAAGATCTCTCTGCTGTTTGGAAGGCTCATCGGTGCACCCTTGCGAAGTGAATGGGGGCCAGATTCCGACGAATTTACTGACAAAACTCCAGAAGCATTTTGGAAAGGGGGCACCGTGGTGAGACATGCTCCCTGTCCTTTCGTTTCCTTCCTGTTGTCAACCACTGATTTCCCCCTTCAAGTGCAAATTCAGTTGATACAAGTCCACAGCCCAGAAGATGTAATATTATTTGAGGGGAAAAACAAGAATTTGCTATTTGCCTGTCACTCTCTTAAGTGATTTACATACATTATGTCATTAAATCCACACAGAGAAGTCTATTCTCTCTCCAGTTCTGTAGATGAGGACATTTTTTGAAGGACACACAGCTAGTAAAAGTTCATTAACAGTGGTTTTTTAGTCCAGAGGGTCTTGGTCCAATATCTTTAGTGCTGAGCTGTGGAGCATCTCAGTGGCACAGAGGGTAGTGACTAGTCAGAAGAGGCTGGTGCCAGGTGTGGCCATGGCGCTGAGTTCTTTCCAGTGGGATCTGAGAAGAGACGATGGATTCCAGGCCTGGTCCACAAAACCTTCCCAGCTGTGCTCCTCCCCACGCCAGCTTAGGATGCCACAAGCTAAAGAAGGCAGGACTCCCATCAGCCTGGGGTCCTGAAGCACAACATGGAGTTAGCATTCCCCACTCACCTAGGACCTCCCTCAACATTACGTGAGCAAAAAGCAACCTTCTATTTTGGTGGGCCCAGGATAAGTTTGGGCCATGTTCGTTACCACAGCCTCATCGACCATAGTGGAGAAACTGAAAATGAAGAATTATGGCAGCAGAGCCTGTGGTGAGGGGTTACCCTGACAGTTCATGTGGGCATGAGAGTGGGCCAAAGCTGGACTCCTGCAGTTTCTAAGTTATTTTTCTCAGAGAACAATAATACTTCATGGCCATCTAAACGTAGCTGTTTCCCTACCCTGCTCTCACTAGCCTTCTTACCACATGACTGTCCTCCAGGATTAAGTCATCCACAGAAGTCTCCCTCCCCCTATTGGAGAATTCACTGTCATTCATAATTATCTCATTGGGATGCAAAGACCATGGTACCAATTACATTATTATTGCTAACACAAGAAAGGCCAGCAAGGTAGAGAAGGGAAAGCGGGAAAAGCTAGGACTTCCATGATGGGAGTCTATCCGAGGGTTCCGTCTGGATCGGTGAGGGAGGGAAGAGGTCCGGGATGGAATTAACATATTATGTAGTTGTTGTTTGTTTTTCAAACTGGGTCCTAAAGGAAGCTGAGTGGATTCTCTATTAATTTCTCACTACTAAAGCTGACCATCGGGACCACTAGGCATCTCAGTCTATGCCAAACCAGAACCAACTCACTTCCATCCAGTCAGTCCTGACTCATAGCAACCCCCTGTGGGTTTCTGAGACTGTTACTGTTTATGGGAGAAGAAAGCGCAGTCTTCCTGCCATGGAGCTGCTGGAGGTTTCAAACTTCCGACCATGGGGATCCCAGCCCAACTTGTAACCACTACCCCACCAGGAGTCCCTCAGTTTATGCCAGGACATCCAAATCTGGCCTGAACAGACGAATCTCCACAAGTCTTTATATTAACCTCTCAAGGAAAGAGAATGAAAGGCAGGCGCCAGAGGGAGGAGATAAATACACATACTAGCTATCTACCACTAAGTTGTAGGTAAAGTGCATCTTTACCTCATGCTTCCCATCCAAGAAAAATGGCACTCTCTCCGGAAAAGAAAACAGAATCACTAGAGTTGCCAGCAATACTTAGCATTTTTTGAACTGGATTCAAGGAACATCATTCCACGCTCTACCACTATCTTCCCTGAATCTCCTCCCTGTTTGAGTGAGTCTGCATGTCTTCACATGGCCTAGAACACACGTCACTGGGTTTAAGGCCCACCTGTTCCAGTGTAAACTCAACCAACTACATTTACAAAGACTCTATTTCCAAATAAGGCCATAAGGTTTTGAGGAGATCTGAACAAATGACATAAATAGCACAGACTATAAATAGTCAAGTTAAATTGACTATAAGTAGTCTATCCAGAAGAGGATTGCAAATGAGCCAAATTTTTTTATGAACAACACTTTTCTGGCTGCAGGGCATTCCCTAGACTCCCATTGGAGCATATGCAAAGAAAGATAATGTGGTCATGAACCTCAAGATGATCAGAGAGCATCTGAAAAGACAGTCCCATAAATAATCACAGCACAGTCTGACAGGTCCTAGCATTGTTTACAAGGCACTTCACAGCCTCTTCTTTAACACAAGAAGCTTCTGGGGTCAAAGTCAGGGTGATATATGAAGTACATTTTGAATCTAATATGGTTTAAGTAGAAACATTGAGAAAATTCTCCAAAAACTATTCAACAGGGACACAGCCAATTGATAAAAAGCAAACAGAGAATATAACATTCACCAATTCTGAGCCTTCATTTAGCCCACAAGCTTTATATATACATAATATGTACATAACAAAAAAAAAAAAAAAACCTCCAAAACTCATAGTGGGCCCTGTGGTTTTCTGAGACTGTAATCATTTACAGGAGGAGAAAGCCCAGTCTTTCTCCCATAGAGCTGCTGGTGGTTTCAAACTGCCAACCATACAGATCACAGCCCAATGCTTAACCACTGCACCACCATGGCTCCTTATCTATTTATTTACTTACTTACTTATTTAAAGTATAATTGACTGCCAAATAATACTCATAGAGGACTCCTACTGTGTCTCTCAAGCTGCCATAAAGAGGTGCAGATACTGAAACACACAGACCTGCCCGAAAGCCAATGTCCTCACCCTGCAATGTCCACCTTTCAATGTTCCTTGAGTGGAAAAAGGCATGCATTCGATTTGATATCCAATCCTTTTGGACTCTCCATCTGCCTTTTAAGGCCCCGTTATCTGCAATGGGTTTCCTGCCACTGAACAATGTTCTTTACAGGACATAGTCTACCACTACTACACCAGAAATAAATTGGCCTTCTGGCTTTGCAAGCAAAAATAAGTATTTTGGAGGTTGATCACTGCAGCTTGATTACTTTTGGGGAAACTGGTCAGATCAACTTTCTGAAGTTCCACTTGCTGGGTTAATGTCACCCCAAATCCTGAGGACCATACACCAGGCCTATATCAACCCAAATAAGAGCCCTCAGGAGACCCATCTCAGGTTGGAACATCTGTGGTTTTTTCTTCCGTGCTTCATTCTGGATTGAACCAGAGGATCCTGAGGTTCCTCCCAGTATATACCACACACACACACACACACACACACACACACACACACACACCGTCTATAACTCAGAAGCCTGGGTCAATCTCAAAAACAACAAGATGGTCATTGTAGCCCGAAGTCATTTTATTCCGCTCTCAATGTCCTTCAAAGGAAGATGGGAAAGTATGCAACTCTGCTTACCTGAACTGAAGGAGAACATCTTGCTTCTCCGTTGTGCCAATAAAGGCTGGTCTGCTCGGGTGAGCGCGTCAAGCTTTCTTCTCCAGGCATGAGTTTCACCTCTTTTTCTCAGTCCTTTCTCCATCCCACTCTCCATCAAATAAGGACCGACTCTTTAGAAAATACAGAGGAGGCAATTATTAGTAAAAACTAAGAAAGAGTCCTGGTGATGCTGAAGATTAGGTGTTGGGCTGCTAACCATAGGTTGGTGGTTCAAACCCACCAACCTCTCTCTAGGGGGGAAGTGAGTCTCCCTGTTCACATAAAAATTTACGTTCACTCTCTTCTTTGGCACTGCCTACAAAGGGGGCAGCCATCCCCCATCAGCATCATGGTTGCCCTCAGACCTCTGGGGAAGTCCAAAATTGTCAAAAAGAGGACCAAGAAGTTCATCCGGCACCAATCGGACTGTTAGGTCAGTTTTAAGTGCAACTGGTGCAAGCTCTGAGACATGGGCAACAAGCTGTGGAGAAGATCCAAGGGCCAGCACTTGGTGCCCAACGTTGGTCATGGGAGCAAGAAGAAAAGTGCACACGTGTTGTCCCATGGCTTCCGCAAGCGCCTGATCCACGACATCTAGGAGCCCGAAGTGCTACCGCTCCGCAAACTGAGTCTCCCTGGCGGAGGTCGCTCACCATGCTTATTGCAGTAACTTCTATAACAGCAAAAAAGATGGGAACAATTAAAAGCCCTGTCTCTAAAGGAATAGATAAACAAACGCTGGTACATTCACACAGTGAAATATTACATGCCCTTTAAAAATCACGAGTATGACAAATTCCTCATGAAATGGACAAAATTAGAAGGCATTATGCTCAGCAAAGTTAGTCTCAAAAAGATAAATAGTTCTCCTCCCTGCGGGAAGGACAGCGGAGACATGGCTGAAGGGAGACATCAGGCAGTGTAAGATATGACAAAATAATAATAATTTATAAATTATCAAGGGTTCGTCGGGGAGGGGCAATGGGGAAGGAGGGGAAAATGAGGAGCTGATACCAAGTCAAAAGCAAATGTTTTGAGAATGATGAGGGAGACAAATGTACAATAGTGCTTGACACAATGGATGGATGTGTGAATTGTGATAAGAGTTGTATAAGCCCCCAATAAAATGATTTACTTATTAAAAATAATAGTTCATGACATCATTACTATAAAGGAAAAAAGACAAATGGGTTTCACACCTAAGGATAAGGCTTTAAAAACTATGAGGAGGGCCAGGGCTGCCAGAGAGGGAGGAGTGGGGCCACAGGGGTGCAGGGAAAGGTCAAGAAGGGAAAGAGGAAAAGAGTGAAAAGGGGATGCGGAGACCCACATATATGAGGCATGGGGAGGGGAGAGTGGTTGGAATACTGTCACTGATTCAATGAGATGGGTGTATCGTTGCGTAGAATTTGTGTTTCTTTGTATGTATTGCATGCCACAAATAAAAGAGGGGAAATATACAAATAGAAATAAAATAAAGTTAAAAATCTTGAAAAGAGAAGGAAGGGCCGCAGCCTTC